GGTGGCAAACAGCAGAGACATAGGGAAGACACCAAGAAAAGATTGGTCATTTCCTGGTCACACAAGCATCTGCTCTGCTTCATATAGGAACCTTAACAAACTTAAGGTTTTAACATTATTGCTCTTCCTTGTTTCCTTTTTCTTGCCTGTTTACAGTTTAATACACTGCTTGGTTTTGCAGCGTGCAGAAACACATCCTACGGCCAAGAATTATCTATTATTTGTCAACTTTATGATTCCTAAGGTCATGGAGGTCGAAATTTTTGTACACCTTACTACAATAATACACCTTATTAAATATACCAGTTACTACTGGTCTGGGAAAAATTTTGTATGCACCTGCTCAGCGCCACTCTCATTTTTTCCTATGGTTTGTAGAATAAATCTTTTGCAATTGAGTGCTCCCGTCACTCTTCTGCAGTGCATCATGAATTGAAAACTGCCAGAATTAACTAGTGAATAGACTGTGCTTACTGACTGATCTTCTATCAATCAGACTAAAATAACAAGAACATACCCTTTAATTCCTAGGTTAGTGATTACCTCAAATATAAAATAAGTCTGAGGCTATTTGTATTATTTCTAGTTTAAATTACATTTTAGCAAAATTAGAAGACATTAAGGTTGTAAAGTAAATGACTTCTAAGCTAGGGAATGTCAGAGGAAAGTAATTAACCTCATCCTGCATGTGCACTGCATTTCGGTTTTTTAATTATCAGATCAGTGCAGTGGGATCACAAAACCCCATGATGAAAGCCAGAAAGCCCCTAAACACGCATGTAAGATCAGGTAACAGACAAAGGCTGCACCTAAGGAAAGGCCTGAGCCCAACAAACAGTTCTCCAGTTGTATTTACCAACAGTTTTATAGGCAGTGGCTGCCTATAATGGAGCTCAGAACCCAAATCTGGGCGTAAGCATAAAGCCGACAGCTGAGGCACAACTTCTTGGCTGCTGTCTTTCGCAGGGTAATGCTGGACTCTGGTACCTGGCCAAGGGCTGCACACAGCTTTCAAAGTGAAGCATCAGAGACTTTATGACGTTTTGTTTTTCCCCACAGCGCTAGCCCTTTGTTTAAAGAACTGGTTAGTTATCCGATACTTGCTTTTATCCCTTTCATTAAATTCAGGGTTTCAGGTCTTACTTATACATCACCTAAAGCCCTGAATATAGACTTACTTGATCACTCAGAAGCTTCCTAACAATGTTCTGGCCTACCCCAATATTTGAGCATTTTGAAAATACTGCAGAACCTATTTTTCTAGTATCCCAAGGAGTACAAGTAGTAGTAGTAGTATTCCTGTTTTACACAGAGGAAAAGAAAGATTAGAAGGATTTGGGTCAAACTGCTGAGTGTCCACTGATTTAGGCATCCAAACCTGAGAAACATAGAATCTGATTTATTCAGAGCACGTAGCATTTTTTTATCTTAAGAAGATTCTATAAGCTTTCATATATTCAAAGCATAGCTCCCATCAAAGTGAACAGCAAGAGAAAGTGCTGAGAACGTCTGCAAATCCATTCCCAGGTGGTTATCCAGAAAACACAGAATACGCAGTTAGATGATCATCAGTGAGGATCTGGGTTTTAAGTGATTTGTCCTGCATTCATCCAAGTGGGAGGACAGTGACAGAGATAGAGGTGGAGTCTAGTTCATCAGCCCTGAATTGCCACGCTAGTCCTTTCTCTCCCATCTGCCCCCATCAGCACTTTACTACTCTGGTAACTGGATTGTTCACCTCATGGATGTGATTCAACCCCTAAGCACAAGAGTTCGTGCAGTAGGAGCCGAAAACCTTGCTGATGCCAGAAAAAAGACAAAGTCTTTCTTCAAAATTTGGGAACTGTGAGACCTTCTCAACCACATGATCATAAGAATGTTTCAAAATGGTTTAAACAATGTATTTTTCTTTAGTTCTGCCATCTCAAAAAAATAGGATTTATTACAGCTGACCTCACAAATAGTAAGTAGATAAATATGAATCAGCTTTAGACTGGAAGCCATGCTGAAAAATGTATCCACTTCTTTATGTTGGCAAAAGGGAAAACATTTGTATACAGGAGCTCAATGTGCTGGCAGCATTTTTAGCTTTAAAGGAATGGTTGTTTGGGGAAGATACAAAGTCTCCATGCCCATGAACAAGTAATACTTTCAGCGGTGTAAATCATATTCTGCCTCCTTGGTGAGCTTAGGACCTCAACCATATGGGACTAGTTAGGGAGCAACTAGAAAGGGCATGACACATGATGCGTTGTCGCCATTTAGCATCAAATTCTCCAATCTTTAATCCTGACTATTTCTGCAGAATCAGACAAAAAGGTTATATTTTTGGCCGCTTTGGCTAGAGCTGTCGGTGCTCTGGGGGCACTAACGGGCCTTCCTGCCCCTACCCTCCCCACTTTGAGTTCAAGGAAGTGTTCACCATGTTTAGTAAACATTCATCAAATCAACTGCCTTATCCAATTTTTTTGTTATGTTTTGGTTCACTGGAAAATCTCCAACAGGCTCCAGTAAAATACTTCATCTTCTGTTATTTTCACTTGGTTACACACTGATTATGGTGGTTAGGCGTCCAAGCTTTAGTTAGAGATTCAAAAAGACAAATGGGTTTGATTTCTTCTGTAGTAATAAGTGATAAACTTAAAAGATATACAGATGGGGAAGAAACATGTAGTGAACTGAGTGAGGAGTCACACAGAAGAAGCAGAGAGATGGAGAATTTCACCAGTACTTTGCAGGGAGGGGAGCTGGTTGTTGCTTTTATGTTTAAGCTTATCTTCACCAAGATACTGGCAAGAGTAAATATAGTTTTTAGCCTTCTCTATATAAAAGCTGTTTGTCAGCATTTCAGCAACTCTCCCATTAAGATGGTGCCTAGATTTTCCACGAAAAGGAAGGAAAACTGGTTTGTTGGATTTTGGCGGAAGGATCTGAAGTAGGAGTCAGCTTGGGCAAGAAGGGTCTAGTGGGTGGAGGTAAGTTGCAACTGAGGGAGCAGTGGATAAAAGCCAGATGTGAGCAGAACTTTGGCCTGAGAAAAAAGGTAACCATGATGTGCAGGGAAACTGCAGAAGATCTTGAAGAGTGTAAAGGATCATTAACAGCTGCTCTATAAACACTAAAAGCATGCACGGGGCAAAAATAGTGGACCAGAAAGAACTGGTCAGAGGTCCAAGTGGGACTTTACCTCCTCTACTAATCCTCAGCTCTTCCTTCCCACCACAAAGATATCTTCCTTCGGGGTTGACCCTGTTTCAAATGGGTTGGTCAGGCCTGGCTAAGCCACTGGTCAGGGCAGCACTTGGTGGGGCAACCGCAACAACCGCAAGATCAAGCACCTGCACACTAAGTCCCTGGGTGCTACTACTGTGGGCCTGCTCCTTTCTTGGCCCCTTCCCAGGAGCTCCTGTTCTCTGACATGGTCCTTGCAAGTCCCACTCCTTGGTGGGACATCTGGCTATGCTGTCTCCATTTTGGAGCATCTGTAAACCAGCCATTTGCTTCCAGCTTGAGGTGGTGGTGAATTTTACGATCTTGAATTGTCTTTGGAGACACTGGCTGCTATAGCACCCCAGTACCAAACTGTAAATAACATTGTGGTAGTTTTCAGCTGGAGAGAAGAAACGGGGTACAGTATTGCAAGGACCTTCTCCGAATTCGTACTTAAGCTTTTGTATGTCTGCTTTGACGTCAGATATGCCTCTCTTCTGTCATTGCATGAAGCAGTCTAGTGCAGGACGTGCTTTAGTGACATATGCACAACAAAATGGTGTCGTGCTGAGACTGCTGGCAGGTGCACAGTAGAAATTACCCTTGCATTGCTGTGAAGACGGCATTGAGATAGGCAGATATCACACATGCCTCCGGTCACACACACAGCGCCCTATGGACGAGGTGGCACGGGAAGACTGGAAGTGCTGTGTGTTTGTGGCCTCAGCACCTGCTGCTAACTTTATACAGCAGTTAATTATTTCGAGGCTTCTGGGTGCCGGATTCGGGCTCTGCAGCCGCAACCCCAAGAGCCTCTGCTCAGAGAGCGAGTAGCAACAGTCCCAGCCTGCCGCATAGGTCTGAGCAGCAGCAGCCTTCACCCAGCACCCGTCGG